TAATATTTAATTACATAAATTTAATTACATAATTAGGAAAAAAAGGCAATAATAGGCGACTGTTTTAATTTTTTTTTGTATATATACTTTTGCTTATTTATTAATAGCGAAATTTAACTTATAAATTGGAAATTTCTAAAAACGTTTGCTCGATTAAAATTAAATGTAGTACACGGGAAAGCCTGGTATACAGTTAGTAAATAATAAGTTAAAATGTCGCCGTGTGGTCCTGACATAGAACGGGCCAGCCCTTTCTTTCGCATGGATGTCGTAAGAAGCGACTAAGGGAACTTAATAGTCGAAAGATTGGCAGCAGCGATCCTTTTAAAATATTACCAAAGGCGTTAATTGCGGTTGCCAACCTGAATAGCAAGCGTGGGAACTACTGGCAAGACCTCGCTTATAGGAGAAGCTTATGTTCAGCAGTGGTTAGCTGTCCACTGCTATGATTGATATTTGATTTGATGATCACCATAGATGATGATGATGATGATGAAAGCAAAATATATTATAAGTTTCGAAATCCCACCAAACGCCAACAGTCTGTATAGTCATGCTAATGGAATGTTAATGTTGGATATACTATAAATTCATATGGTTTATATCGTGATATCACAATAATCTAAGTGCAATAGTTTCTAAAGGCGTTTATTACTCAATCACACTTGGCCAGATGAATTGATTTGAATGGAATTTAGTAAACAGATGGATCACGTTCTAGATTCAACCTTTTAGCCCAACTCACTTGGATAAAGCCTCGAGCTAGTCTATATCTATATTTTAATATTATAAAGATGGAAAGATTTGTTTATTTGTTTGTAATGGATAAACTTAAAAACTACTCAGCTGATTTTAAAAATCCTTTTATCTATACAAAGCTCCATTATCAGCGAGTAACGTAGAATAGGGTCGGCAACACGCGCGTAATACTTCTGGTATTGCAGGCGTTCATAGGCTATGGCAACCGCTTACCATCAGGTGGGCCCTATGCTTGTTTGTCACCTCAGTGGTATAAAAAAACTATATATAGCCTATATTTTTCAATAATATAGTAGATATACCTATTTATTCATGCGAAGCTATCACTAGTGATCTGTTCGATCTGAATAAACTCACTGGTTATTTGAATAGAATTATTTTGTTTAATTCCACTACCATTAGTATGTGTGTGACTGCCAGATGCTAGACTGAAGACGGTTTTTTTTTTTGTAAACAATGTAATTATATATTTTTTTTATATAAAACATGATATATGAAAGAAAAAAAGAGGGTTATTTTATTGAACTAGGTGTTATCTTGCAGAAGACCATATCACTGGTTATTTGATTAGAATTATTTTGTTTAATTCCACTACCATTAGTATATGTGTGACTGCCAGATGTCAGACTGAAGACGGTTTTTTTGTGAAACTCAATGTAATTACTTTTTATTTAAAACATGATGTATGAAAGGAAAAAGATGTGGGTTATTGAATTAGGAGTTATCTTGCGGAAGGCCATATCACTGGTTATTTGATTAGAATTATTTTGTTTAATTCCGCTACCATTTATACGTATATGACTGCCAACACTCGAAGATTGATCTATTACTACCAGAAGTTCCACAACCTTCCATATTAGCGAACAATATTTGACTGTCATTTTGTTTATGCACCTTTTGCGTTTCACATTTAAACGAGGCATCTTCAGACAAATTATTAGATCGCTATTCGGAACCTAGTGTTGATTATTGGTGCCCAAGCTGCAAATCACAGTTAACACTAGAACTGAACCGAATGGCTCCAAGTATCTTACTAATATAATTACTAACTTACTAACGGTAACTAGATGATGTCTGTACATGGAGAATATTTTAGAAAAATTAATATAAGGGACCTCGATCAAACTTAAAAATGCCAAAACAATAATCTTTAGTGGGCTTGTCTTTTTGTTTCTGTCTCTCTCTGACTGTCTGTATATTTATTCTGGCATCTGTACGTATGCACTAAATTCAATTTTGTTTTCACAACTGTATACCTGAAGGTCTACCTTAAAGTCTGGCATATATTTCATCTTGATACAACACCATACAACAAAGTAGTGGGAAAAAAGCCTGTAAATAATAATAATATGAGCGTGTATGAAAAGATTGATACATGCAGTGGAAGCAAAAGAGATCTGTTTGAATCGAAGCATATGGCGTTCCATTCTTTCTCCCTACCCTAATGGGAGACAGTTGTGACAGATATGTATGTATATAATAATAATAAAAAGCGCAACTTACCTATTTAAATAATGCGGTCAAATTGAGAGCTTCCAACTTTTCGAAGTCAGTACAAAATGGGTCATTGTTATTACATATCCAATAGGAACGGGTTTACAGTCGGTTCTTTTTATAGACACGTGTTTATTGAAAAGGTTAGTAAGTCACATTCTGTTGATATTCATCTCTATTTAGTGACGTCACTATGACGTCAGTGGCTTAGAATTTGGCAGGAGATGCTTGCCAAGTGAGGTCTTCCGGGTGAGTCCTGTACACATATGGAATGTGATAAAATAAGTTTTATTTAATTAATATTAGATATGTTCTTTTTTTTTTAGAATACGGAACAATCAATTATTAAATAATATACAAAAATATTTTTTATTCAATTAAACTTAATTATTAAGTATTTTTGAATTGTCATTTTTTCATTATTGTACCGCCCAATTTGGAAAACAATTTAAGCTAAAAACAGGAGAGCGCCGCTAGTATTATATAATTTTATTTATTTACTTACCTCAATTTGTTTGCAATATGTGGTATAGGTATAGAGATAGGTATCTATAAGGAAAAATATAGTATGCACGTATTTCGTTACATTGATTCGTAGCTCTGCGTCCCCAGACAAAGTACAAGAAGGGAAGTGGCTGTAGCATTTATCAGTTATTCATAGGTTTACGAGTGCAGCCTGTCTATTGGTAGAACAAGTGTCGGCCGATGTCGAGGAACTAGATAGTTCGACGTGAGTTTCTGATTGCCACCTCCTGAGTTACACGAAACATAGTTCACTAGTGATTCGCCCCGGATTTGAATAGTTGCCATAATAATTATTTCGTGTAGAACCCATATTTTGTTTGTTAGTAAATGCATAAAAGAAAAAAGTTCCTAACCTATATGCCAGTATGCAAACAAACGACCTAAAAATAAATTTTAATTTATTACAAAACATTAAATTTATCTTTATATTACTAAAAAGGACTTATATTATTTGACAATGAAATTATTGTTATAAATACTAAATTAGTTTCGCCGTTTAAGGTATTTTTAAAAATTTATTGGAAATTAAGGGTAAAGAGTAGGCGAATTTAGCCGAAAAAATCATTTAGGCGATTCTTGTATGTGGCTAGCACTGATTAATTAATTAATTTAGTAAAATAATTTATTATATTGTTTATTCCATTCTATCCCAATATTCCATATTCGAACCATAGTACTATAAATATGTAATAAATATTGAGATATTAAATTAATTATATAAGTATCAATAACAAGAATATACATATAATACAACATTATAATGTTATTAGTCGCAGTCGCTGTACCAAATTATTTCAAATTGATTCAACTATTTAAAAGAATAAAAACCCTTACAAAGTGAAGTAACCTTCTGTCTTATAGCGTTTGAAACAAGGTCTATTTTATCCAGTTACTAGTCAATACTCTATCACTAATGTCTGTGGAAATCCAAACTCGTATACAAAAATTTTTGCCGGCATAGTGTTGCCAACTGTTGAGAATAGAATATTCTCTTTTCGGTTGATCGCATTCATGGATCATATTGTCTCCGTGTTCGCTCACGATGGTGTGGTCACATGTTGTTCTATAACAGAAATAAAAATAAATACTTTCTAATATTATAAATAAAAAAAGTGTTTTAAATTATCATATGTTCACATCCAATTTTTTGTAAAAATCGTCATTCACATAGAAACTAGCGGTAATCAATCAATACTCCAGTCACCTCGACGAAATGTAAATAATAACGAGTTATCCAGTAAAGTAATTTTTTAAATTACATTTTAAATTGATATCAATTATAAAAACTGTTGATTAAATGTCGATTGACAAACGTGTATGGTTTTAGTCAACCAAGTACTATTAAATGTTAAAGGTATTAAATGACCATGTCGTTTTAGATATAGTACATTTAAATAAATTTATATGATGTTAAAAGAGTAACTGATGAGTTTCTTACAGGTTCTTATCAGCAGATAATAAAATTCCGAACCCAGCAGTAAAATCATTAAAGTTCATGATTTAAAAAAGCATGTATATAGGTTGTATTTGAAAAAAATGCTTTGATATTAAATTCTGTTAGATATTGATTTTTAAAGATTTTTCATAGAAATTTGATAATTTTATTTAATGGTAACACAATATAAAACTGGCTGATAACACCTATAGGTTATATTGTTAGAAAATAAAATTACGTTTTATGGATGTTTATACAGCAACGCATATTACGGCGTCCCTAATCTCTCGTCATAGTAAACGGCTCATTAAAAGCCGACATCAAGATGGAAAATGTACGCCTCGGCCGCCGGCGACCGCGAGCTAGCACCGCCACAGAGTAAAGAAATGTAGATACATTTATGCTCATTAAAACAATGAATAAAGTGGAAGGGGATTGTTAGTAAGTAGTTCCATTGCTTGCCATTTATTCTGTCAGGTCGACCTCTAAACAGCTCTCTGGGAAATCATTGTGGTTATTTCTTTGCGTATTTGTTCTCATGGGCATATATTTATTATTTTCTGTAATTGAGGTCGTTGCTCTGTTTAACAGAAAAAAAACACACAGTCTAAGCTAGCTTTTATCTGCCATTTCATTTGTGTGTATATTGAAACAATAAAATGGCCCATTTCTAAATGGCGTATCAAATTAAAATGTACACTAAATTCTCAGGAATACAGCTGTGAAAATCACATATATTTTAGTGTAAAACTTTTTGTGTAATGTCAGTAAAACGTACAAGCAAAAAAATATAAAAATTATGTCGCTCTTATCGAGAGCTCTTATTGTACTGAACTATTTCCAGAGAACGACCATCGTCTATTTACAATTTTATTATATGTAATATAATATGCATTCACAATTTAGAGTATTAATCAATAATGCACACTATTTGTCGTCTCTATTCAACGTATTCGATGGCGGCGTGCGGCAAGGAGAGCAGGGTGCGCGGCAGGGCGGGCGCCGCCTAAAATAGCACGCACGTGCCGCTCGGCATCTGCCCACGCGCAGCCAAGATGGCGGTCCGTGCGTGTGTGTGCCGCGTACGCCCTGTACGTGTTTGTACGTGTACACAACTGATGCAAGCGATTGTGCGACCTCGTTGGTGAGGTACAAATTGTTTATTGTATATAGGGCTCGATTGATTTCGCTGTAAAATTTGATGTATTTCATGCCTGCGTCATTAATGTGAGTGTTTTATTGTATTTGTGTGTATAACAGTGAAATTTAACTCTCCGTATGCTGTAATATTACGTTATGAAATCTTGAATAATCTGGTATTAAAACGATTTCAATTTATAATATGAATTTTTTAACAAAACACATATTTTTATAGTATTTTTTGATAAAATACAATTGAAATATGTTCACGATTGTAGTCTTTAAGGAGATAGGTATTTATTATCATTACAATGATTATTACACACTATATAACACATTCCGTTGAGAATATTTGAATCCGACCTAACGTCGTCACACGGATTAATTTCAATTAAATTTTAAAGTCACCTAAAGAGTTTTTTAAATAGTATATTTGTAGGCTTTAATAATAACAATACTATATAATAATTAATAAAAAGAAATATAAAATTAAAAGTAAACTATTTCCCTCAGACTCAATTTGGCACAATCGAGTGAATCAATGAATTTTTATTTAAAAAATATTGAATTTATTTCAAATAAAAATCATATTGAAGAAACGTTAAATCTTACCTTATTTTGACATCTAATGGATATGACTCCGTTTTTATATCAATTCGATTGCGTCAAAGTCAGCCCAGCCTACGTTGAATAGATATATGTTTTTTTTTCTTTTTATTCCTCAAAAGAAGGACGCCGCTACTGATAGTATTAATGAATCAACTTTGTCTCATCTCACAAGTATTCCGGATACCTATTACTTAAGTATTCCGTCACATATGTGTTCCAGACGGCTACGGAAGCTTAATGAATCATATCTAGACAGACACAATGTAATTGGAGTTGAAAGTTGGTTGTGGTGTTTAGAAATCAACATAGGAATCATGCGTCAACCGGAAAGAAAAAAAAATGCAATAATTTCTAGAACATTAGCTGTGATGATGAATTTGATGACGAAATTGTAATTCAGAATATTATTTAGAATTTGAGCAAAACCATCAGTTGCAATGAATATGCATAACACTACCACTCGATCTCGTATTGTCTCGAGACATTCCGCACAATATAAACGACGAAGTATATATATATACATATGTCTAGAGATATCTATGTATGCACAAAACAATTACCATTTAATATGCGTAGTAGACGTTCTGTTTCGCTTAAGACTAAATGGTGCTGAGTAAAAAAAGTCTAGTAGTAAAAAAAGAAACTTTTAAATCATTGTTATTAAAAACAGCAGCACCAAAAGACCTAACAGGTTAATAGCCAGTTTATAACATGTGTTGCATTAAATACCTAAAACTCAAGTGTGTAGGCGTAATGCACGGCTATGAATAATAAGCTTTCAGACGTCAATATTTACAAGGAACTTCTGGTCCGGCTACAAATTATCTCCAAACAGTCAAAGTGTTAACGCCGATAGAAAATAATAACTTTCATGAAATTTTACACAACGTCGAATATTAATGGACTAACCGCAGTAATGCGTACGTTTGATGTATTTGTTTAACGCAATATGAGCTTGTGGTAAAAGGTTGTGGAAAAGGTGGTAAACCACCTTTTCTTTATGGTGACAGAGGAATACAATATGATACTAATACTTTTCTTCCCCAAGATATGATAAAATTTTGATTCTGCAAAGGTAGTACAATTCACCATTGTCAAAAAAGGAAAACTTTTTTTATTATTAGGGAGGCAAACGAGTAAACGGTCTACGTGATGGAAAGCGGCTACCGTTGCCCATAAACACAACAGGAGTTGCTTGCGCGTTGCCGGCCTTATAAATATTTGTAGGGATGATTTTTTAAATTCCCCTTTTTATAGTGTAAAGAGAAACTTGAAACAAAATCCACCGGGTCAGCCCAAAGACTAACTAGTCTAATGTATATTAATGCTACTATCTCATTCTATCTCATGCAAACACGCAAACGTTTCTATTGAGAGAATAGTTTGCCGTTTGTTTACATGTGACTGAAGTACGAGCAACAATGTAAGTAAATATGCAGTATATAATGTAGTATCTATAATGACAATACCTATAAGGTGATTTATTAACATTTTCCATCAGGTAGGCTGCGTTTACTAATTGCAATTGTAAATGGCGTTTACTACGCAGTTTTTTATACAGTGACTGAAATCATTACTTTAACCATTCTTATCTATTACTGAATATAGGCCCATTTTGTAACGCTCTAGAGCCTTCATCAATAGATTTCCAAGAAAGGAAAGTATAAATATATCGAAATTGTTTGGGCATATTCCAATACTGCTGTGAATCTTTATGCTAGCTTAAATTTCATATTTTCACAATTCATGGTACAAATTAATCTTTTATATAATTTCTCTAACACAATTGTAGTCTTTGATGTAGGTACTTTGATTGGATTTCTATTCAGGTGCAACTAAGTTCACTGCTCCCCAGTCCAGGTACATCCACCATTACGAAAGTACCAGGCTCGCATACTTCAAAAAGAGCTCACGCACACAAGCCCTGCTTGCGCACGCGCATAGCCGGTGCGACGGCGCGCGCGCATCTAAATATAGCAACGTAGAACGCCTCCCGTCGAGGCGACCACCGTCTGATCTGGAGATTTCCAAGATCTTTTTTTCATTATTACTCTTTACACGAGAGGGACGTTGATTTACGGGATTGTTCACCATGTTTCGCAATTTGGCTTCATTAATTATGTTTACTTTTTTATGATACTTAAATCGCAAACAAAGCGACAGCCATTTTGATCTGAAATAATTGCTTACCCTTGCCTATAAATATGAACAGCATAGACATTACCAAATATTCTGTGATGCCCATAGTACCGGATCAGGTCTCTTATGTAAGGCGGTACTTTCAGATATGTTTTTGGAAAGCTTCGTTTGTACTTTAGGGTGTGCACCAGCCAATTCTCCTCTTACATATGCCTATGGGTATCATGCAGAAACTACTGCACTAAATTAGATGAGGCTGATTCAATTGTATTCTTAAAAGTCTAACTTTACATCTGATCTATATTTTACCTTGATACGCAGTCTAGAAGTGACCTATTTTTTTGGTTTTTCTACTTCTGAAATCCACGTGTACGAAGTAGCGGGCAATTAGCTAGTAACAAATAATATAATCTATGTATTGATAACGAGAGCAGAAAAAGAAACATAAAACACCAGCTGCGCTACCGTGAAACAACCATAAATAAGTGTTTACCTTTATCGAGGGCACGCGACAAACGACTCATTAATTAACCCATAAAGTTCAGCTTAAGATCTATACATTTAAACCTTTCTCCGAATAGATTATTAGTAATAGGGACTAGCAGTAATATTGCTAGCAATATACCCTTACCTTTTAGGTCAAATTCCTCATGGTCCCTCTTGGAAACCGTCGTGGATAATTCTTCGTAAATTCGTTCCTCGCTGGCACTTTTTCAGTGTAAACCATAGTGCAGGTGGGGTTACCATACCATTTTAATCCATTTAAAGAATATTATTCACTGAGGATAACCTTCATTACGCATATATATATATATATATATATATATATATATATATATATATATATATATATATATATATATATATATATATATATATATATATATATATATATATATATATATATATATATATTAATTTATTTATTTTAATTTATCGTATTTAGTCCAAAATACACTGACAACATGTAAAAAATTTAATGACTTTCCAATAAATTCTAAAGAGTATGAGAATGTGCAATAAATTGTTTGTTTTTATAAGTAGATCACAGAAAATACTGTAGTGCCCATAATACTCTTCATGTGTCGCTATTTCACCGTCTGGCATATACACGGTGTTTTTTTTATGCGTGAAAATGGCATGGTTGCCCCGCCTGCACTGTCGGTATACACTAGCGAGGTACCAGTGAGCGGTGATAGGTGAGGATGAAAAGGCAGGTCAGTTAGCCCATTGTGATGAATTCAGTGATAAATTGGTCAGGATAGTTTCCAGGGGGAACCGCTTGGAAGTCGAGCTGATAGGGTATATTGATAGGGATGCTATGCAATGGGGACTAAACTCCTCATTAGTAACAATCCCTTCCCCCCTATATACACGGTGCTGTGATATCATTTATATATTCAAATATTCAGTATATAATTTACATCAGTATCACAAAACATAATATACACTTGTGAAGAGTGTATTGAGATCTAGAAATCTGAATGACCTACTCTATTTTTATCTTTAAAATTTTTCAGCGAAATTCGCTATTTAAAAAACTTTTTCTTAAAAAGTAATGATTTGACATAACCTGCGTAAGTAATACATGCCTAAAGAACCTGTATCACAAGTCGTTAGTTTGTAACAGTAATATATTAGAATAGTAACACATAAAATATACTCTATATTACTTAATACATTGTAATAGATTATTTCACAGTTGAATGGCATTTTAATGATATATACTACTATCACAAGTAAAATAATTCAACTGAATGTAATAACAATATAATTCAAGCGAATAGTCTCATGATTTTTGATTAGTAAATATGTTTTAAAAGCACGAGAAAGAATTTATTGTTAAAACTTTTGTAAGCACACATTTAACTTACGTGTACCTAATTAGATCGAAAAAGTTCGACTTGTTTCGGAATTGTTCAGGCTCGTGCTCGCGTCACAATCGCTCATGGCTAAAGATCTCGAATGGATTCCAAAATTTGTTGAGTTTTTTCGATCTTATTACACGTACGTTAGTTAAATTGGCAGTTATTACATTAAAATCATAATTTATGCCAGAGTTTGTATGGATTAGACAGAGAGCATAAAGGATCAAATAGTTCTATATTCAATTCATAACTTGACTATTCATTCACTCTCTTAATTCATCTTATACATAACCATTGGATGTATTGGATTGTTGTGGAAACTCTTAAATTGGTATGACTTAACTAATATCAAGCAAAAACAGAATCACATAAAAATAAAAATAAAATACACTG